AGGAGTCCTGCTTTGGGGGGGTCACCGGTATCACATATTGGGGCACCAGCGGTGCCATCTGCACATAGTCACATACCACGAGGCTTTGAAAACACTGCCAGGACCTCTCCCTTTTCCTGTGGGTTCTTGAGCTTTTAGGGTTTCAAACTTTTCTGTCCCTCACCTGGAGAAGTAGAAAATTTCCCCTCCCAGGCCACCAGCAGAGGAAAAGACGAAATGTGGCCAGACGCACAATAAAATGGTGAGAGTTGGCAACTGCCGTGCAACTGGGTTTTTGGGGATTACAGGCCTGGAGGCTAGTGATGTAGAAAGTCTTATCCCAAAACTCATGTTTTTATTGTCCAAGTCGGCACTTTAGTTGGTGCGTCTGGTGTGGTTTTTCACGCCCCTCACCAGCAAAAGTGCTGATGTAAACCTAGCCTGACATTTAGTATCGCTGAGCCTCAGCTCTAGTGAAGTGAAGACTTTAAACTAGCACTTTACCTCTGAGGGTGGCAGCATTGTTTGTGTCGAGGAGTCCTGTGGCACCTTATAGACTAACCAAAGTGTTGGAGCATAAGCTTTCGTGGGCAAAGACCCACTTCGTCAGATGCATGTAGTGGAAATTTCCAGAGGCAGGTATAAATATGCAGGCCAGAATCAGGCTAGAGACTCCTCGACGCTTTTGCAGATTCACACTAACACGGCTACCTCTCTGATACTCGACAGCATTGTTTGTGCCAGTCTTGTCAGCCCAGAGGCAGCTCAGCTTACTCCGGTGAGCGAGAAGTGAGAAGCAGAGCTGAGATGGAGTCTCTCTCTCGCATAATTCTCTCAGCAAGTCGTACTGATCACTGCCAGTCCATACTGCCTGGCAGTAACATACTTGGACTCATAACGTGTTCCTAGAATTTGGAATTCAAAGCTGGCAAATACAGTGAGTTTGTCTCTGAGAATAAGTGAAGATGCCTTATACTTTTTCTAGGACTAGTGACTTGTGGATCTGTGAGGGACAGAATTTCTGTCAGTCCTAGATTAACAGGCAAAGGCTCTCAGGGAAGCATGTTCCTTTTCTTCTCACACTCTGCTGCTGTTCTTTTCCACGGCCTGTCCGGCAGTGCTGTGCATTGAAGAAGTCCTTTGAGGTCTGGCTTTCTGGTCATTCTGCAAAACTCACATGATTCCACCTTGTGGGTAGGTCCTGCCCTAGACTGCATCTCAACACGAACTGGCGCAGCATTTTGTGAGACCTACCATGTGATATGTGTCCTTTCCAATATGCTATCCTATAAGGAGTGTGGAACCATGCTACAACTGCCGTAGGCAACTGGACCTTTCTCTTTGGAGAGCCCACCTGCCGTTGTACCGCAACCACAAGCTGAACCCCCTCCCCCAACAGGTAACTGGGTCAACCAGGCCTTGTAAACGTGGATGCTGGTCGTGCCTCGTTTTTGGAATGTCAAGTGATGACTGTGGGCTGGTGAAACAATCAGTATTGTTTTCGCATGTCATGTTCACTAACAAGGTGAACAATGATTTTCAGCATTAGGAAACAATCTCTGCTGTAAGCATGTTCTACCGTTCTGAGCTGGGATACAAGTTGTGTAGTTCTTAGAAGCAGAGCGACCATACCGTCCTGTCTTGGCTGAGACAGGCCCTTTGTAAAGCCCAGTCCTGGCCGTGCTGAATTTTTTGGCAAAAATGGGCATTTGTCCAATTTGCTTATGACGGCCGATAAACAGCCAATGGGACAAACACCCTCTCTTGTCAAAAAAAGCAGCTTGCGATGTGGAGGAACGTGCAGGAAGGTTAGCAGAGTTGCTAGCCCTTTGCAATATGGGGCAGGGGGTAGGCAGGGTTCCAGTAACCCCGGCCCCAGGATGGTAGGGGGAGGGTCTCGGGCAAGTAGCCTGGGTCAGACTAGTGTGAGGAAGGGGTGTTTAGGCAGCCCCTGCTGGGGTGGAAGAGAGAGGGCTTGGACCAGCCCCATACAGTGTCCCATTTTCTTATGGGGTAATAAGGTCATCCTATTTATAAAGTTTAAATATAACATGGTTGCAAACCTATTCATGATTTTTTTGGGTCAGTTTTATTCAGTTCTAGTTTCTAATCTTCAGAGGGGGAGCTGAGTTAGTCTGTCACTGGAAAAACTTAAAAAACAATTAGTAGTCTGGCAGCGCCTTAGAAACTAACAAAACATCAATGGTATCATAAGCTTTCATGGCACAACCCACTTCTTCAGATGACAGGAGTATTAAAGGTCCAGTTCCAAAATAAATAGGGGCTGGGGGGGAGAAGGAAGGGAAAAGGAGGAAAAAGTCCATTCGAGTGTTTGTGTTACATGAAGCTGATAAAGAAGGTGCAAATTGTTTTTAGGTACCCATTGTTTGGTTTTTTATGTCATTAGGATGTGGAATGCAGTGTGCTAGCCAGGTAACATCTTCCTTCATACCTTGTGGGGCAAGCTGGGATAGCTCAGTGGTTTGAGCATTGGCCTACTAAACCCAGGGTTGTGAGTTCAATCTTTGATGGGGCCATTTAGGGATCTGGGGTAAAATCTGTCAGGGATGGTACTTGGTCTTGCTGTGAGGGCAGGTGACTGGACTTGCTGACCTCTCAAGGTCCCTTCCAGCTCTATGAGATGATATATCTCCATACATATATAAAATCTTTGTGATGGATCCCAAACCTGTAAATGAAGTTAAGTTCCAAGGCTTCCCTGTGTATTTGGCTGGTAGAATTGGCCTGAAACAACACAGTGACTTGGAGATCCATTAATAAGTCCCCAGGCAGGTTAAAGTGTTCTTCAACAGGTTTCTGTATGGGGCCTTTTGGAGTATCTGATTTGTGTCCATTAATTCTTTCCCATAGAGACTGTCCAGTTTGGCCAACGTACATGGCAGAGGGGCATTGCTGGCATTGGATGGCATAGATCACATTAGTGGATGGGCAGTTAAATGACGTGGTGGCTGATGCGGTTGGGTCCAGCGAGGACATTGCTTGTGTAGATGTGTGGGCAGAGTTGGCTGATTCAGGGCTGGGTTCCAGGATAATTATGATAGAGGTGTGTTGCATGGTTACTGGAAAGAAGTTGTTTGAGGTTAGGGAGTTGTGAGTCTTGCCAGCCATTCAAAACAGCTTCTAAGCATATTTCCATAGTAGCCCGAGCACCTGGCGAGCCTAGGCAATCAGCAGGACTCTTCCCAATTGCCTTTAGTGAGCGGTACTCTTACTAGTAAATAAAAGGCACAATTCAGCTGCCAAATTGTGTAGTTAGCCAAGAGAGCAGAGCAGGGGCTCCCCCAATACAACAGCTTCCTCCTCAGTCAAGATGCCACCCAACGGTACCTTCAGTAGTCAACACAGCACACTCTGAGAGAGCCCCCAAAGACCACACAATCAGATAAGGGTCAAAGATGCCCAGCCAAGTTTATTGTCAAACGAAGTACAGTCATAGTTGTCAGTAGACTCTGCTACTGCCAGGAATGAGACACTGCCCCCTCGGCCGGACAAAGACATCGCTTGATCTGCAGGTAAAGCATGTTATACATCATTCTTGATGTATCAAGTTGCCACCTTCCGACGTTACTTGGATACAACCCATCGCCCTCAACCTGGTGGTTCGATTAGCACATCTCTGTCCAGCATGCTGTCATTTTAGACCCTTTCCTGAGCCTGGGCCAGTATGTCCCTGTTGTCTGTGGGTACCAAGATGCTTCTTTGCAAAGTGGTGGAACCATCCTTCTGGAATGTAACTTCAACCTATGCCCAGTGCCAATTCCTGTTCTGCACATGAGCCTGTTGCCAATCAGTGTTCTATACTCTCCACCCTGTTCGTGCCACGTTCTGTGAGCAGGGGCATGCCTCTTGCTCACAGCTTAGCTTTGCTTTATTTTAGCAAAATCTTGACCATTGTTGGCTGAGCCTCAGGCCTCACACCAGCCTGTGCTTCTGTTTCAGGCCCTCAGCTTACTACAGCTGGACGTATACAGGGAAGTGTCCAGTCCCTTGTCTTCTAGACACTGATCTGCTGCCTGCATGGAATCCATGCACCCCTACTTACTGTCTGCACCTCAGTTCACAGCTCTGCTTAGCACAAGGCACTTGGACAGGTTGATCTCACCGAACCAAAGTGAATTTGACAAAGCTTGAGCTAAAGATTCAACTAAAAGCAAGTGAAAAGATTTGGAGCCAATGTTGCAGGTAAAAGAAAACACAATGCAATCTAGAGCCAGGACTTCTTAAGAAGTTCAATTTTGGCTTAGTAAAGTATTTCTCCTCCAATGACCAGTCTTTGCAATGTGCGTCCAGTCCAGAAAACTGCTCCCAAAACACTCCCTTGGCAGGGCGCTGCCTCTGTAGTGGATAACATCTTGTGCCTTCTCCTCTGCTCTCAGGCAGGGCTGGCCTTATCATGAGGTGAACTGAGGCGGCCGCCTCGGGTGCCAGACTGGGGGCGGGAGTGCCACTAGGACCCAGAGTGTAGAACATTGTGTCTGTGCTGGTGCAGATGTCTCCTCTCTGCTCTAGATGCACAGAGATGGTGGAGTGCTGTGCTGGAGGAAGGAGGGCACAAGAGACATAACAGGCAGGCAGGAGAAAAGGTGAGAGGGAATCACAGAAAGCAGCAGGAGCTACAGGGAGAGAGAGAGGTGGAGGAGGAGCAGTACCATGAGAGTAGAACAGGAAGAAGGCAGAATTGAGACCTTTCCAAGTTTTGGCCCAAGTGAGGAGGCATGGGGGCGTCATTTGAGCTCCCCGCCTCAGGTGCCAAAATGTTGTGGGCCGGCCCTGGTCTCAGGCAGCCCAAGACTTTTTGTCTCTTTTCATCACCAGGGCGGTTTGTTAGTCTGTTCAGAGGCTTTTCTTGGGGTTCCTTGCTCTGTAGATGCTCACTCAAGCCTGCATCTGGTCAAAGTAGTAAACACAGGCTTGGGCTGGGGTGAAAGACGTGGACTGTTCTTACTCTTGGGTAAGTGAACTCTGAGACTGGCTCCATCTTGCGTGACGTGCTTATTCAGCTCTGGTGAAGCCACATCTGGAATATTGTGTCCAGTTCTGGTCCCCCCCACTATAGAAAGGATGTGGACACATTGGAGAGGGGCCAGCGGAGGGGGACCCAAATGATTAGGGGGCTAGAGCACATGACCTACGAGGAGAGTCTGAGGGACTTGGGGCTGTTTAGTCTGCAGAAGAGAAGAGTGAGGGGGGATTGGAGAGCAGCCTGCAACTTCCTGGAGGGAGGTTCGAAAGAGCCTGGAGAGAGGCTGTTCACAGTAGTGAGGGATGGCAGAACAAGGAGCAATGGTCTCAAGTTACAGTTGGAGAGGTCTAGGTTGGATATTAGGAAAAACTATTTCACTAGGCAGGTGGTGAAGCCCTGGAATGAGTTACCTAGGGAGGTGGTAGAATCTCCATCCCTAGAGGTGTTTAAGTCTCGGCTTGACAAAGCCCTGGCCGGGTTGATTTAGTTGGGATTGGTCCTGCCTAGAGCATGGGGCTGGACTTGATGACCTCCTGAGATCTTTTCCAGCTCTATGATCTCAAGCAACTTTGGAGGAGAAGAGGCTACATTGTACGTGTTCCATCAAATATATCCTATACAAACAGCTTGTCATAATCATGGCAATCGGCTCGTTCTTAGCCTTGGGCACAGGCTACACTTGGCCCGTTGCTTCAGTGCGGGATGGAGAAGCTGGTCAGATATGCATACGATGCCTGCCTGGACAAGTCTGGGCAAACCTGTGTCACACTCTCCCATCCAGGCACTGAGCTGCCCAACTCAAATTAAGCTTTGAGATTTTATAGGCTCGTCACATAACACCACATGACTTCATTTTAAAAAGCGAGGGCTTCAAGTCTGTTTAGCTGCTTACGGTGAAAGTGACTCTCGCATGCCTTATAATACACACATGGAGTAATCGTGTATCACTATTTTCTATTTAACAAGTTAATAATGTGCCAACCCAAATCCTTCAGTACTAACACCACCGGAGGGACTCATTAACCAACTTGAACACATACTAGGGGAATACTAATATTCACAAGACACATTTTTTATATTCATGTTGTTGTTTCTTGTATCCATGACTCAGTTAATGTATTTGGTTTAAACATTTGCTGGCAGATGATTTTCTCTCTCTCTCTAAACATTTATACTGTGCACATCACCATAGTACCCCCTGGTGAGCGATGCGAATGACAGTTTGTCATCACGTGAAGCTGCTTCTAGCTGTCAGGTGAGGGGTCTTTCCATAGACTCTTAGAACCCGAGAGCTGGAAGGGACCTTGAGAGGTCATCAAGTCCAGCCCCCTGCCCTCACAGCAGGACCAAGCACCATCTAGATCATCCCTGGCAGGTGTCTGTCTAACCTGCTCTGAAATATCTCCAGAGATGGAGATTCCACAACCCCCCAGGCAACTTATTCCAGTGTTTCACCACCCTGACAGGCAGGAAGTGTTTCCTAATGTCCAACCTCAACCTCCCTGGCTGCAGTTTAAACCCATTTCCTCGGGTACATCTACACAGCAACATTATTTCACAATAACTAGCATTATTTCAAAATAATTTAGTCCATGTCTACACAGCAGGCAGTTATTTCGAAACACAGGAAACCCCCGAGATGCAACTGCCCGAGTTCCGAGCCCCCGCACTTACAACCATTTTTGTAAGTGCAGAAGGGGCCAAAAACCCCCGACTTATGTCCTCATCCCGTCTTTAGGACAGCGCACAACACCTATCGTAAACGAGGGTTTGAGTTACGATACCCCCGACATGCAATGCTTCCCCAGGAACCGATCGCATCGCAAGTCGGGGGCCACCTGTAATGTCAAAATACTGACAAGCTGGAGGACTTCTTACTATGACTCTTGTAACCCTCATTGTAGGAGGCGCAAGAGAAGTTGGAGCAAGAGTGCTCTATTTTGTAATAAGTGCGGTATAGACGCTCCCAATTTCGAAATAAGTGATGCAATTGATGTAGCTCAATTTGTGTAGCTTATTTCGAGTTAAGCCCTGCTGTGTAGACGCACCCCTAATGTCCAAGCTAAACCTCCCGTGCTGCAGTTTAAGCCCATTGTTTGAAAAGGGAAAGCAATGCACTCAGTCTTCATGGTGGGGCAGGTGCCTCATATTGCTCGAGAGGGACCCCTAACACATTCCCATCCAGTTCTCTTTGGCCAGAAGGTTGGGAGGTACGGCACATGGCTCTGGGGAGAGGGGGCGAAGAAGCAGAGAGGTTTTGAGTAGCATAGAGTTGCTCTGGCCTGGGAAGAACAATCACCCCAGTATAGTAGCCCAATGTCTATGACTCTGTAATGCCGTAACACTGGCTGTTCCCTCTGGGTGGCGCTGTTGCCTCCCGCCGTGGCACTCGGCTGACTTCTGCACCGCTCAGCCGGGCCGCTGCGCGGGAGCAAGTGGCCATTTGGGGTCCGTGCTCCCCATGCAGCACCCCCGTGTTGCATGGGGAGCGTGGGGCCCAAACGGCCACCTGCGCCACTTGCTCCTGCGCGGCGGCCCGGCTGAGTGACACAGAAGTCAGCCAAGCGCCGGGGCTGGAGGCGGAGGCCGTGACAGAGGCTCCAGTCCCCGCCCAGCATTATTTATTCCACGATTTCTTGTGGAACCCCTGATGATGGTCCGTGGATCCCCGGTTGGGAAATACTGGTCTACAGCCTGGGCTACAAGCCAGCAGGCTCCCAGCTAAGGCTGTGGAGCAAACTCTGTCTCTCTCTTCAAGTGGTCTAAGTGCCGCTCCATGGGCCAGTGACCCGCCCCCCAGCAAGTGCCTGGGTTACAGAAACAGTGCAGGGGGGGCCCAGGTTGCATTGGAATGCTTTTAAATGGGATGCATGTGTGCACTGTGAGTTATTCTGCTCCTCTAGTCTCATCTGCGGGCGCAAGCGGCGCAAACGGCCATTTGGGTGCCACACTCCCCATGCAGGAGGAGGAGGAGAAGAGAGAATGAGAGGCAGGAGGGGGAGGAGAAGAGAAAGAGAGTGAGAAGCAGGAGGGGGAGAAGAGAAAGAGAGACGGCGAAAGAGGCAGGAGACGGAGAAGAGCTCAGGAGATGGAGAAGAGCACCTGAGAGAGAGAGGGAGGGAGGCAGTAGGAGGAGGGGAGAGAGAGAGAGATGGAGTGAGAGACCGGAGGCTCAGGAGAGAAGACCGAGATAGAAAGGGAACAGGACATGGAGGAGAGACCTGAAAATCCCATTTTATGATGGGCTAATTGCCTAGTAAAGACAAGAAATCCCTAAAGCAACTGATCCTCTCCCAGCTGAGAGATATTTCTCACACAACCCAACAAACATCGTTTACCTTAGCACACACAAGCGTTTTCTTTTCCCCCTTCACCAGGGTGGTCTGGGCTGGAAACTTTCTCATCCCCTTTGTTTTTCTCGATTCTCTTTGCTTCATAATAAACATGTGCAGACTCGGTGGGGAGGGATATTTTAACTTCAAAATGTGCAGACTTGGTTCAAAACCAATTCAGTGTGCAGGTCATGGAGAGCCAGCGTCAGGACCATGTTTCCAGTGAAAGGGAAGGGTGGCTTGCAGAATGCCAGTTTCCCGGGAGACTTTAGGGGCTACAACAATTAACATTACCATTACTCACAGGTTTATACGGCACTGTAAGGTTTCTCAAGGGAGATTTAGGTTGGACATTAGGAAAAATTTCCTACCTGGCAGGGGGGTTAAACACTGGAATAAATTGCCTAGGGAGGTTGTGGAATCTCCATCCCTGGAGATATTTAAGAGCAGGTTGTCAGCTCACAGGGCCGGAGTCCAACAGGGTTGTTGATTCGCTTCACAACAGAGTTGATTAGGGATAGTTGCTTTTATTAATCTTACTACGTCGTTACTATTACAGGGTTAATACTGCCAGGTGGCTACATGCACAGCTACTGCACAGTAATACGTCAATAAGCATAGGGAGAGCAATGCATAAAAGTGAGCAACAGGCACTTGGAAATGCTTACGCCCCTTCAGTCTGTGGGGAGTCCCCTTCTGGTCACCTCGCACCGCGCTGCAGTAGATGTGGCTCTAACTAGGGGGATCCAGGGCACCCTCCGAAGTCTAGGTCGCTGGTGAGACTCCCAGAGGGGCAGGACTCCCAATGATCTTATATTTTAGCTGTTTACCGAGTGTGCGCGAGTTGGCCCAATGCCACTCTCAACGTTCCCATGGGGCTGAGACCCGAAGTCTAGGTCGCTGGTGAGACTCCCAGAGGGGCAGGACTCCCAATGATCTTATATTTTAGCTGTTTACCGAGTGTGCGCGAGTTGGCCCAATGCCACTCTCAACGTTCCCATGGGGCTGAGACCCGAGTTCATGTTATCTATTCCATACGGGGTTCTCAGCATAGCAAGGAAGTTTTGGCTGGTGAAGGCCGTCTGATAAAGAACACCTGGGCTACGTCTACGCTGGCATGAATTTCCGAAAATGCTTTTAACGGAAAACTTTTCCGTTAAAAGCATTTTCGGAAAAGCGCGTCTAGATTGTCAGGATGCTTTTCCGCAAAAGCACTTTTTGTGGAAAAGTGTTCATGGCCAATCTAGAAGCAGTTTTCCGCAAAAAAGCCCTGATCGCCATTTTCGTGATTGGGGCTTTTTTGCGGAAAACAGTTCTGTGCTGTCTACACTGGCCCTTTTGGGCAAAAGTTTTTCGGAAAAAGACTTTTGCCCAAAGGGGAGCAGCATAGTTTTTCCGGAAAAGCACTGATGATTTTACATGAGATCATCAGTGCTTTTCCGGAAATTCAAGTGGCCAGTGTAGACAGCTGGCAAGTTTTTCCGGAAAAGCTGCTGATTTTCTGGAAAAAACTTGCCAGTCTAGACACAGCCCTGGTGTTTTCACTAGCAGTGCTCAACGCTGGCCTAGAGGAATACAAGTTTAACCCCTGCAGGCCCACATATGGCTTACACTACACAGGTTAGAGAGACACCTGCCAGGGATGATCTAGATCCATGGTTGTCCAACCAGTTCTGAAGCAGTAGCCACTATAGCAAACTAGCCATGCTCAACTAACTACACTCAACCGGCCAAATAGCCACATTCAACCAGGCAAATAACCACATGTGGCTAATGAGTTGGACACCATGGATCTAGATGGTGCTTGGTCCTCCCGTGAGGGCAGGAGACTAGACTTGATGACCTCTCGAGGTCCCTTCCAGTGTTCTATGATTCTAGCAAGAAAAAATCCATTTCATCCAACACTTGGGGTAGGTGCTGCCAGGCCCCGTACCATGCGAGTGAAATGGATTCTGAGTCGGAAGTGAAAGCGGCAGAGGAGAGCGACACAAGTTCATCTTACCCTGATGAACTTCCTGCTATGACTGAAGAAGCAGAGGATGTGGTGAGGACACTGAAGAGCAATAAACCTCCTGGAGTGGGTAACATACAGGCTGGACTAATTAAAAGGAGTGGCAAGGCAACCACAACATTTTTGTCAAAGTGATTTGGGGGTCTGGGCAATGGCCCAAGACTTGGACATAATCTCTGATGGTTCCTGCTCAAACTATAACAGTAAGATCTACTTGGAGTCCTCTTGAGGCAGTTCCATGGCTTATGATACACAGAGGGCCAGACAAGATGATCACAAAGGTCCCTTCTAGCCTTGGAATCCAAGAAAGTGTCTGTTTCTGGAAATTCCCACTCAGTCTCACTGACATCCTAGCAAAATACCCTCGCCCATCTTCCTCCAGCGGACTGTGCCCGAGAGAGTCCCTTCCGACTGAAGAGCAAACTGGGTGAAGACCTTCAAGAGTTGCCAGGGAAGACTAACTCCACCTGCAGGTGCTATGCACAGAAGTGTGGAGGGACAGGGGGAGGCGGTGCATGGTGGGGGTGGATTTTGCCAAGGCATTTGGCAGCAGATCGCACGCGCCTTGTTAGGAAATTCCGCCGCCGGTTGCACATGATGAAAGGTAATACGACTGTGGGACTGCAGCAGCGGTGGGGGCTGGGACGGGAGCAAAGTTTGTTTGGTTTGCAGGTGGGTGTCAGACAGGGCTGCTTGCTCTCACTGCCTCTCTTCAACTCTTCTCTAGGAGGTACCATACGAAGCGCCGCCGAGGGAAGCTGGCAACAGGGTTTACCTGTTGGTAGATGAACGATTATTCATCTGCGCGTTGCGAACGATGTTAACTCAACAGGATCATTGCAAGCAGAGGTGCAAACAGTGCTCGAAAGAGCAGAAAGAAGTTAGGCCAGAAGCTGTCACGCAAAGAAGCCGACAGTGATCACGTCTCAGGCAGCTGAAAAGGCAAAGGAATTCCACCCCGATCTGGAGTGCGTAGAGCGCCTGAAATAGCAGGGTAGTGTGACTGCAAGGTATGCTAAATAGCACTCCGAGAAGAGACTGACATGGACTCGTGACAGCTGCGCCAGTGACACCCAGCCACACTCAGAGACGCAAAGGTATTAGCACTAAGTGTACAATGAAACCGCTTCTGTCTCTTGTCTCCAGCATCTCGCTCGGTGCCTCAGAGGCACCGACGTTAAAGAGATGGGACATTAAGATGCTTCCTGCTTTGGAACTGAAATGCTCCAGGCAATCGCTTCCCCTTCCCTACATTGCATGTACATTTACAGCCTTGCAGGAGCAACGCCTGTTCTCGAGACAGTCAGACAAGGGCAGCTTGAGGGTGTGAGACACGGGGTTTGGATGAGTGGAGGAAGGTTGCTAAAGCAAGCTTGGCATGGACGAGTGCCAGCGGTAGGGCACCCACAGTAAGGCTATGTCTACACTTGTGGCATCTTGCGCGAGTAATATGCAAATGAAGCTAAGCATGGAATATCGCCGAGCCTCATTTGCATACCTAATGAGCCACCATTTTTTTCAGAAGAGGCTCTTGCGCAAGAAGGAGAGTCTACACTGCCCCTTCTTGCGCAAGAAAAACCCTCTTGCGCAATGCCGTTACACCTATTACTTTTCAGGAAGAACGGCATTGCGCAAGAGGGTTTTTCTTGCGCAAGAAGGGGCAGTGTAGATGCTCCTTCTTGCGCAAGAGCCTCTTCCAAAAAAAATGGTGGCTCATTAAATATGCAAATGAGGCTCGGCAATATTCCACGCTTAGCCTCATTTACAAATTACTCGCGCAAGAAGGCGCAAGTGTAGACATAGCCAAAGTGTGGTTCAGTAATGTAGTGTATCCACCACCAGATGGATTTGAAACTGGGACCTCTGGAGCTTAGTATAGGAGCCTCTACCGCTTGAACTATGAAGCCAGCTGGCTCCCAGCTTAGGTTGTAGAGCTCCCTTGTTCTTATCTCTTGCTATAAGTGGTCTAAGTGCCACTCCGTGGGACAGTGAACCACACTAGGGGTACATCTACACTGCATGTTTATTTCGAAATAAGCTATTCCGGAAGAAATACTCCAAACTAGCATATTTAGAAATAGCATGTCTACATTTCAAGAAAGCCTCAAAATTAGTCCAAGCAGGCTTCCCTAATGTGGACACCCTACCTCGATTTAGAGCCCCAGGAGGCACTGGGGAGTACTTAGTTTGAATGGCCCTGGGGAGGAGCTATTTCAAAATAGCAGCAATGGAGCGTCCCTGCTACAGCTATTTTGAAATAGCTATTTCGGAAGAGGCGTTATTCCTCGTGGAATGAGGTTTACAGAAGTCAGAATAAGCTGTGTCAGTTACTTCAAAATTATTTTGAAATATCGGCATTGCCGTGTCGACGCATTGTTATTTTGGAATAACGGCCGTTACTCCGAAATAACACAGCTGTGTAGACGCACCCTAGGTGTATGGGGTACATTGGCTGCCTGGCTGGGATGCTGGACGGGGCGCTTCTCAAGGCTGGGTGAGGTCCACAACATGTGCAGGAAGATTTCTGGCTAGAGACTCTCGTGGGCTGAGACTACTGTTCTTTGAGCTGTGACTCCGTGGACTCTGCACAAAGTACGTATCTTCGTGCGTTGGAGTCTTTGTAAAAGATCGGCCCCAGTTGATTGGACTCCGTGCTGGAATCACTAGGTGAAATCCCTGTGCCACGCAGCGGATCCGAGTAGGTGATCATAACGCTCTCTCCTGGCCACACAATCTACTAAACGTGCGTCGTGCTCTTCAAAAATCTGTCACGCCAACAGGTCCTTGCTTCAGAAAAGCCCGTGTCTATAAGAACACGCGGGGAGAATGAAATGCAAGACAATAGAGAACAAACCCAAGTGGCCGGTGGATTGATGGACCCTAGAGGTTAGGAGGCACACTGTACTAGAACAGGTCCAAGAGAGGCCAAGCAAGCCTCACTACATGCACCCTTACCACTCTGGTAAATCCCCACATGAGAACAAGGATGAAAATATACAGATGGCTGGCGGAAGAGACACATTGCTTTGTCCAGGCTATCTAGGCACCAATGCAGGTTGATCCTGACCTGATATTTTCTAGTGTCTTTCTAGTTTACTTATGAGAATCCCCATGCCCATTGGGCGACCATTCCGCAGCCTTATACATCTCGGTCATGATAGTCATCCTGATTTTTCCCTTTCTTAATTTTTCCCGTGACTCCTGGTTGGAAGGGCTTGCCCCTTTCATAGCTGAAGAAGATTGCCTTGCTTCCTCCTCCTCCTCCTCCCATCTAGCACAGCTGGGTGCACTTAGTACCAAACTCCGTTTTGTTGGCTGGTTTGTGTTTGTTTTTCCAGACCGGTGTGGCTTGGGGCCTCAGGCGCAGAAGCCTCATACTGTGGAGCAGGACAAAGACACCCTAGCTGCATGGCCATGGTGAGGCCACCCTGGGAAGACTGCATGCAAGGAAAGGCACCGCAAGGTACTAACCAAAGGGAAGTAGTTCAGCGAAGAGCAACACAAGAGATCGGGGGTGGCAGAGCTGGAGTCGTTAGGAAAGATTAAAAGAGCCACCTCTATCTATTTTCAGTAAGTGGTGACTCTTCATGGACCCAAAAGCTTCCTTGATCCTTACACCCGTATGTAGAGAGGGTGCAAGCAACAAAGAGGGAGAGGAAGGATCAGGGTGACAGACCGAGGCATGGGAATGGGATAGATCTGAGCAAAGGAAAATGTAGGGTGGCTCTCAGGGGAAATCTCTTAACCCCGAGATGTCAGGATGTGGGATCGTCTCCCCAGAGAAGCGATCAGAGTGCTACTGCTTGATACTTTTAAAACAAAACCAGATCAAGCACAGTAAAATGTCCTGGCAGGGCCAATCCTTGATAGATGGAATGGAGCTAGATGAAAGGTTCTGATACCTGTTCTCCAACTCTGGCTATGTGTAGACTGCAGAGCTTTTCCGGGATACCTCCAGTATCCCGGAAAAGCTCTGCCGCGTCCCCTTTTCCGGAAAAAAGTCGGAAAAGCGGACTCATTTTGTCGACATCCCCGTAAACCTCATTTTACGAGGAAGAAGGGATGTTCTGAAAAAGGGTTTTTTCCCAAAATTTGGCCCCGTGTAGATGGGCCAAATTTTGGAAAAGCCTTTCGGAAGTAATTCAGAAAAAGATATACAATTTGCGTACCACAAATTGCGTTTCTTTTTCTGATTTATCTTTGTAGACATAGCCTCTAACTCCTGTGAATCCAGCCCTAGAGGGAGACAATAAGTGATGTCCACATATGCAAAAAATAAAACTCTTTTTAATGTGCAGTCTATATAATACAGTGAAACCTTTGTTATCCGGCACTCTGTTACCCAGAAAACTTTGTTAACCGGCATTGCCCTCAGCCACAATACTGTCACATATTCAGGCACGCAGGCCTGGCTTAGTTTACCATGATTGGCTTAACGATTTTTTATTTAAGTAGTACTAATCATCTTTAACTCAAAATAGAAATGTGAGACCAACTACCTCACACTACAAAACTACCAATGTTAAAAACTTGAGTTTTACTAATATTGTCCCTTTGTTTTCCTTGGTTGATGGGACCCTTAGATAACTGGAATTTTTAGATAACCGGAATGCCCTAATCCCCGAGCGTGCCAGATAACACGGGTTTTACTGTAAAAGGTTTCATTCGTATGGTACATGCAAGGCTACTTTTTTATCTTGACATTCTAATACCATCCAAAAAAAAGTCAAGAAAAGTCAACCCTTATGGTTTATATTTTTACTATGAATCCTAGTGAAAAAACATTGCTCAGTTGGGTATCGTTTATTTTTTATATTGTAATGGTGATAGCAAAAATTCTATTGCTTATGAAGTAAAAGAAAAGTTGAATGCATTTTACAGCTACGTTGTCGCAGGAGAGCTATATTTCAAAGTGAGCATATCATCGGCTCTGAAATGGGATTTTTAAAGGGTAAAAAACCAACACCCTGCCAAAATCTCTTTGCCAGTGTTTTAACTAATAGGGTTACCGAGCATGAAGGACTGGTTCCCACGCCTTGTCAGGCCACCCAATACCGACTGAGTGACTCCGCACACCCGTCTTGAACTTTTAAGTGTAAATGGAAAAAACATCTACAATAAAGTGTTTCTGTTAGAGGAACAAACCTCTTATAGAATGAGTCTTCCCACGCACAACTACACCTTCTGCAAAGGTGGAGGGTCGGTTGTGTGTGTAGGATTTTATCTTGAAATAAAATACCTGTGGTATGAAATCATATAGAACAGAGATGGCTGAAAAATGGAACTTCTGTCCCCCAGGAACGGCTGAGATTTTTTCAATGCCCTTTCACCTTGAATCAGAATTTTAAAAAAATCAAAATCTGACTTTTTTGGAAAATGAAATAGTTCTTTTTCATAAGGCTGAAGTGTTTTGTTGAAAGATATGCTGTAAGTCAGTCATAAGGAAACCTCTTGGTGTTATCAATAGGTCATGTTCTGACAGCTTTCTGTTGAAGATGTGGACATAAGCAACATGTTCTCAAGACATTTTTTTTTTTATTTTTGTTGAATCTGCGTGGGGAAAAAAACTGTGCCGCTGGAAAATGGCCAACCAGCTGTGACATGGAACCTTTCGGATTCTTTGTTGACTTGGGCCCAGACAGCGTGCTCAATGGCACACAGAACACATGGCCCAGATAGTTCATTTGCAAATTCAGTGCAATCAGTTTAGGGCTGAAGAAGGATCTTAACTGCTCAACGCACTATAACAGCAATTTCCCCTCTCTTTATAGTCACATCTCCGCATCAAACGCTGCAAATGAGCCACTTCTGCCCTGACTTGATTAGCCTCATTAATACTGGTCCTACGCTTGACAAGTAACTTCTTTTGTCGTTCTTATATATACCCCTGCCTCTAATTTCCACTCCGACTCATCTGATGAAATGGGCTGTGCCCACTGAAGCCCTAATAAATCTGTTAGTCTCTAAAGCTACTTCTAAAAAAATATGCAAATGAGGGGAAGCATGGAATATCAGAATACTAGGACTGGAAGGGGCCTTTTTTCCTGAAAAAAAGAGGAAGAATGGCTCTTGCACAAAAGCGTCTTGTGCAAAAATGGAGCCTAATAAATTATGCAAATGAGGTGCGGCGCTAGGCCATGCTTTGCCTCATTTGCATATTTTTTGCACAAGAAGGGGCAGTCGACATAGCCCTCAGGTATGTCTACACATCAAAGTTATTTCGGGATACCAGAGGTGTCTTTTGAACACGGCCGCTATCCCGAAATATAGTGGACGCGCTATTTCGCCATCCACATAAACCTCGTTGTACGAGGAGTAAGGGATGGCTTGAAATAGCGCTTTATTTTGCATAGCGCAATTTGCATATCTTATTTTGAGCGTAGAGTGCAGTGTAGACAGCCTAAGGTGCCACAGGACTCCTCATTGTTTCTTAAGAACAAAGGGATGCAGGGCAAGCAAAGGCCAATGTTCTATGTTGCAATGAATTGCCAGGCTGGGGTCATGTCCATATTCCAGGTAGTGCAGTATCCTGTCGCTGAAAGAACCTCAGAATGGCCAGATGGTCCATCTAGCCCAGGGTCCATCTAGCCACTGTCTGCCCACAGTGGCTACTGCCAGGTGCCCCAGAGGGAGTGAACAGAACAGGGAATCATTAAGTGATCCCTCTCCTGTCACCCATTCCCAGCCCCTGACAAACAGAGGCTGGGGACACCATTCTTACCACCCTGGCTAATAGCAATTGATGGACCTAACCTACATGGATTTATCTAGTCCTGGTCTTCACGACATCCTTATAAAGTCCTGGTCTTCACAGCGTCCTGTGGCGAGGAGTTCCACAGTGACTAACACCGCCTGATTCAGCAAAAGGCACAAGAAGGCCACAATAGCAGGCATGGGATAGTCAGCTCCCCATGGTCTCCTCATCTCTATTAGTTCGAAGCTGACGGACTTTGGCTTATAGCCCTTCCAACATTTTGGTTAGCTTTGCTACTCTTACTCTGGCTGTACATTTTATCCCTCTAAAGCAGTGGTCCTCAACGCGGTGCCCGCAGGCTGTGCGCCTGCGGAGTGACCAGGGCTGGCCCAAGCCATTCTTGCACCCCGAGCCCCAGGCGTGCAGCACATGCGCAGCCGGGGGCAGATGACCGTTTTGCGGGGCCCTGGGCAGCATAATTCCGCGGGGCCCCCCTTTGCCACGGCGCATGCGCGGGGCTTTTAGAAGCGTGGGGCCCGGAGCGGCCGCCCCGTTCGCCCTGCCCTATATCCGCCCCTGTGCGCAGCCCCGCCCCTGGGCACCCGGCAGCCCCAAAAGGTTGGGGACCACTGGTCTAAAGGTCCGATCTCTTTCTGGAGCTTTCCCGAGTTATTGGTCTCAATGGCGTCCTGCAGCAGTGAGTTCCGCAGTCTGGCTGGTGGCTGTGGGAAGAAATCTTTCCTTTTATCAGGTTTGGATTTGCCAGCTCCCCATGTAATTGAATGCCCCTTGGGGATGAGAGAGAGCACAGCAGAGGCTGACTGCAGGAGAGTTATTCCTCATTCAGAATGGTGCAGAGGGCAGGAGCGTCCTTGTGCCTCCATCTCTGTGTTCTGTCCCCTCCCCCCAGTCTGATCCGTGTTCCCATTTTTCAGCCTTGTTTTTTTCCCCCTGCTTCTTTCTCTCACAGCGTCTGCCGTCTCCCATTTCCTCTTCCCTGCAGCGCCTCCTGCTGGCTGTCATGGGAAGTAGCTCTGCTGGCCTGTATGCCCTCTCCTGGTGGCCACCCCCTGCAGCCCTGCCCCAGTCCTCTGCAGCACTGCAGCGTCCTCTTCCTGCCTCGGCCCCAGCTTTGTCACGTTCCTGTTCCCCCGGCTGGGGCTGGGGCGGGGAGAAGCTCTGTCCTAGAGTCCAGGCACTTCCCAATGGTGAATGACGGCAGGGGCAGGGGGACACCTGGGCCCACCTCCTACTCTAGAACCCGGCCAGGGTCCCCATCATGAGCAGCCTCCCCTACTCACCGTTCCATGGACCATTCCTCCTTGGCCCCAGCACCTACGTCTCTCTCTCTCTCTAGCTCCCCGGTCCAGCAGCCCTGTCTGAGGCGCTCTCTTGCGCCAGTCTCCAGAATCCCAGCACCTAGGAACCCGACTGCTCCCTGAAGCAACTGACCCCCTCTGTCCCTGCAGCTCTTTATATGGAGGACTGCTGGGCCCTGATTGGTTACTCTCCGACATCCTCTCTCAGATTGGCTG